GGGGGAGGTGTACTCGCCGTCAATCAATCCACGTGTGGCATGCCCATGTTCCGCTCACGAAAATCAGCACCGACACATTGCAGCTTACACTTGCCAATATTTTGCCAAGTTTTGACAACCCAACAATCAGCAGAAAATGGTTTGTACAGCAGCAGTAGTGGTGTCCCTGTAGAATTCAGACCGCAACAACGAATCTTTCGCCATGCCTAAGGCCGGTGAAATCGCGTGACACAGGCGACGTATTGCAAGTTGTGTCTCATACTCTGAGCATTGCCGGGTTCCCGATGCAAGGCCGCCCGCCAAATCCGTTGGCATCAGACGACCTTAGACAGGGACCACTACCGCACCGTAAAGACCTCGGTTTGCGGGTGACATGGTTTTTGCCTTACGCTCTGCACGTGCCGCATACGTCGCCGTCGCGCAGGAGGTAGTGGGGAAGTACTACCAGAGCCAGCGGAGCGCCGACAACCGATCGGCGGCGAGGACGACCGTGCGACTGCTGGAGTCTCTCATCCGCCTGGCCCAGGCGCACGCGCGGCTCATGTGCAGAACCGAGGTCACCCTTCAGGTGTGTAGAAGGGGTTGGGTTTTGTAGCTGCATGCATGCTTGCTTTGGGGGCGGGGTGCGTGAACATTTCCTCCAGCCCTGACTATAACGGAGGGTAACTCAACAGCGGTTTGTCGAATCTCTCACGTTTCTGGCTCATTGTCGATGCTCTAGGTGGGGCGCCGCCATTGAGCAGAAATATGGTTCGTGCTTGATACTTGTTTGTTGTCGGGTGTGCACTTTCTGGCAAAGACCGAGCTTTGGTCAATTTAATACTGCTGGTGGCGCAACTCTTCAAGATCTTGGGTGGCACGAAAAGTAGGGGTGCCCAGGCATATGGCCATGTCTGCCGAAGGTCACGGTGCGCTTGTCCTCGCCTGAAGCAGCAGCGGTAGGACGGATGCCAGGCACGGCCATGTTGCGCATGCCAACCCGGACAATGCTCACGAGTGCAACCGCTTTCCTCTCTCTCTCTCTCCCTCTCTGTGTGTCTGTGTGTTTGTCTATCTGTCTATCTGTCTCTGTCTCTGTCCCTCGCGTGCGGGCGGGCGGGCGGGCGCGTCTTTGGCTGAATTTTNTCTGTCTGTCTGTCTGTCTGTCTGTCTGTCTGTCTGTCTGTCTGTCTGTCTGTCTGTCTGTCTGTCTGTCTGTCTGTCTATCTGTCTGTCTATCTGTCTCTGTCTGTCTCTCGCGTGCGTGCGGGCGGGCGCGTCTTTGGCTGAATTTTGCAGGATGCCGTGGTGTCCGTGATCTGCGTGGAAACGTCCTTGCACTCGACGGCACAGCTGGGCGTGGACTCCGTCCTCCACAGCGACTTTCCCCCGAATCCCGACGAAGGTGAGGCTGACGCATTTGAACGTAGGTTCACACGCGGCTTGTGACAGGATGAGATGATGCCGCTTGGTTTTTCCGGATGCTGCTCTCTACCCTGCCTGCTTGTGAACGTTGTGTGTGCTTGGAGGTTAGCTTTGCTCATCGGCAGTCGAAGATGCTAGCGTACACCGAAGATGTACTCTGCGGCGCGTCACCGCACGCTCCCTTTGCCGAGGGTGGAAGAAGTGCTCTTTGCTCTCGTCGAAGATTACTTGCTGCATTTTTGACATCACCGTCACACGTCTCGTACGGAAATGCAGCCGGGAAAAGGCTGGTACTGCTTGGGCTCCCATGGTTAAGCCTCTCGTGGGTTTGGGTTGAAGGCCACCCCCACCGCACTTCACATCTGACGTCTTGTTTATTAGCGACCCCTTCGCGCGCTGTTGTGACACCCTCCGATGTTTTTGAGCTCCACTTTGCTCTGTCTTCGCCCCTTGCTGCCGCTGCTCTGCTCTCCTGCTGTGTGTCAGAGTTCGAGCTTCAGCAGGGCCTTATCCTTGATCGGCTCAAACTCAGGTGAGGGGTGTCAAGGCGCGGTTGCCGTGGGTACCACCATGCTCGCCATGAGTCCCAATCGGCGCGCGCACGAAGACACGGTGTTGTTTGATTGTGTGCGGGACACACTGACCTCAGTTTCTCGGACGCACCACGCCCGACGGGTTTTACCACGGCGCTTTGTTTACGATGGCCGAAGACATGGTCGCCATGGTGCAAGTGGCCAAACCTTGGGACATCGTACGTGTTTCCCGGACAGGCAAACCATGCACGAACGCGCACCATCGAAGAAGCGTTGAGCCATCGACACCCCCCACGCTCCCCCAATCAACTGGTATTTTTTTTCACGCAGCCATCTCCACCGCAGGAGTCCTCCACCGCTCCCGTTCGTCACTCGAAGGGGCCCCGGTGGCTCGGCCCGTTCCTTGGGGGGCAGCAGGAGCCAATCCCAGCGTGGTGGCAGCAGCCAGGAAGACGCCCGCGACGGCGGCGGCCCCGCCAGCAGCGGCGGACAATCGTTGCAACCGTCCCCGTCGACAGAGGCAACGGTCGTCAGGCGACACCGGTGGTCGGGCGGCGGAGGACCAGACGACGTCGTCGGCGGTTTTCGCGGAAGCAACAGCGGCACAACCAGCGACGGCAGCTCGGCGGCGCCTCTTCGCGCCCCCCCCGAGCGCGGCCGTCCTCAGCATTCGCTGGAGGACACGGGGCTAGAAGGCCTCTCGCAGCAGCAGCAGCGGCGGTGGGGTGGAGACTGNGAGTCCTCCACCGCTCCCGTTCGTCACTCGAAGGGGCCCCGGTGGCTCGGAACGTTCGTTTGGGGGCAGCAGGAGCCAATCCCAGCGTGGTGGCAGCAGCCAGGAAGACGCCCGCGAGGGCTGCGGCCCCTCCAGCAGCGGCGGACAATCGTTGCAACCGTCCCCGTCGACAGAGGCAACGGTCGTCAGGCGAGACCGGTGGTCGTCGGCGGAGGACCAGACGACGGCGTCGGCGGTTTTCGCGGAAGCAGCAGCGCCACCACCAGCGACGGCAGCTCGGCGGCGCCTCTTCGCGCCCCCCCCGAGCGCGGCCGTCCCCAGCATTCGCTGGAGGACACGGGGCCAGAAGGCCTCTCGCAGCAGCAGCAGCGGCGGTGGGGTGGAGACGAGGGCGCAACGACGGGTTCAGCGGTGGACGGACCCCGAGGAGGCGGAGAGAGGGGAGGGTTTTCCACTCCAGCCCGCGGTGTTGTTGTTGCACGGGCTATTAGCGGCGGTACGCAGCGGCGGCGGCGGCCGGAGCGAGAGGAGTCCGGCGGCGGCGGCGGCGGCGGCGGNACGACGGGTTCAGCGGTGGACGGACCCCGAGGAGGCGGAGAGAGGGGAGGATTTTCCACTACTGCCCGCGGTGTTGTTGTTGCACGGGCTATTAGCGGCGGTACGCAGCGGCGGCGGCGGCCGGAGCGAGAGGAGTCCGGCGGCGGCGGCGGCGGCGGCGGCGGCGGCGGCGGCGGCGGCGAACGGGAGAGGCGATTCGAGGGGCTCGATAGGGTTTCGAGATCCCGTGGCGGTGGCGATGGAAGAGCGGCTTCTTCTGCGGGACCGGACGGGGAAGGCGGAAGGTGGGCCGCGCTTGGCCTTGTGATCGCGCGCGAAGTTTACACGTCGAGGGAAGGTTGGGGATGTATTGATGCTTGGAGCAGCAAGGACCCAGGGCTGTTTTGGTGCCTATGTTGTGTGTGTTTTTCGTTCTCGTTGTGGTCTATGGGGATGGTGGGTAATGTGGCCGCTCTTCGATGTGCTAGTATTGGGGCTTTGTTGTGGCGTCTTCAGCGTGATCGGGGCATCGATCTTTCACCCGGCCCCACGCACCACGTTGCTGGCCACTGTCCTAAGTAATTTCCATTGCAAAGCCCCCCCCGCCCCGCCCCGCCCCGCCCTCCCTCCCTCCCATTCCCGCCTGCATCGCCTCGCTGCTAAGCTGCTGCCGCATCACATGTTGTGAACGCATTTCATTTCTTATGTTTCGGACTATGTCCATGGGATTCAGGTAGTCAACTCACTCCTGTCTTCCTCTTCGCGCCGCAATCTTGCCCACGTGCCCTTCGTTTTCGCCCAACAGGTGGACAGGGTTCAGCGGTGAAACGCCTGGCTCGAGTTTGAAGCTGCGGCGTCAAGCCGACGACGACAGGGTCGGCGGCGCCGCTTCCGGTGGCGGCAGCAGTTGGGGCGACGTACTTCTCATGAGCCAACTACCGGGCACCCCTGTGGACCGACGGTAGCGTTTTCAACGCGCGCCAAGTCTTGGTTGCTTGTACGACATTTGAAGCGTAAGCTCGTGGACTAGCTTGGCTGTAAAACCCTGTGGGTCTGGTGTCCTGCGTCTGCTGTGTATCGCGGCGTTCTGCTTGTTTGTCTCTCGATATGCGCGGCGCGGGCTTGGCTTTAAATCTTCGGTTGTGAAGCGTGGAATGTGTTCTCTTCAGGGGATTGGCGAGAGACACATGAATGAATGGTAACTATTGTGTGGTGTGTTGTACGGTCGAGTCATACGTGTTGTGTTTTGTAGCGTGTTGTATGGTTGAGTGACTTGATGACGTTGCCGAAAGCAACACACTATGCCCAATCCTTGTCGCCGAAGGTGCTGGTGTAATTGCGTTCGCATATACCACGTTTTTTCCCCTTGAATTGCGGGGTTTGTCGACCCGAAGAGAGCAGTACCTAGATCAAGGAGCTCATTTGATGGCAGGCGTGCTTGGCGATATCCTATCTGTTGGTTCATCCTATTCCCCCTAGGTTTGATCATCCCATCTTAGACTAGAATCAAAATTTCACTGCGGCTGGTGGTGAAGGACACCGCTGTGTTGATATTTCTGCACCATGTAACGAGTTACCCTTGGGTAGGTGTGAGTTGAAACAAAAACCGTCTTCTCCGGTTACGGCCTATTGTCTGTCCCGCTGCCTGTTCACTTGTTCCCTCAAAGAGAGGGAGAGAACGCATGCCAAACGCTCGAGGAAGCTGGCAGCAAGCTGTTTTGGATATCCCACCACATCCACACAATGATAGCTTCGCCGATTTGGTTCGAAGCTTCACTGATCGACTGTGTCCCGATGGCCTGTCGTTGTGTTGAGAAAGGNGCGGTGACCATAATGGTGGTCGAGTAGATCATGTTGTGCAGGGTGGAGAAACCTCACTCCGCGCAAGGGGGATGATCCCATCATGTTGTGTTAAAATGGTCAAGCACTCTCGAGGCAGTTACACAGTTCTTACAACTGTCTCTGGAAGTGAAAGCACCAGAAAATAAATGAAGTCATACGCAGCTGTCATCCGTATGCAAGGAAGTAAGCACAAGATGCCGAAAACCCTTAGCAGGATGCAGCGCACCCTTCATGCGACCCGCCGAATATCTCACGGCGCTTCCCGCTTGATGATGTGAGAGCCTGGTCCGGTGAGAACCCGGCGTGCTCCGTCCCGGCTTTGTAGGGATGCGAGGTCAATGGTCTAACGACTACGGCATGCACGACTATGAGAACATCCCCCGCTCCCCATCCTCCCGTGAAACTTAGATCGATAGTCCCCCCGCCTGCGAGGCTCGAGGGTGGACTTGTCGAGGTAGGGTTGGCTGTTGTGGCATGGAACTGTAAAACTGCTGTGAGGGCGTAGGCGTTGTTTATGCGGTATATACTGTGAGCTTGGTGGGCTTCCGTCCTACACTTCACACCCTGTAGGATGTCCACTGAACAAAAACAACAATCCATTGTTGGAAAGACCAGGAGCAACTTTTTTTGTGAACTGCTCCATCTGGAAGTTTTGCATTGAAGCCAGATAAACTGCCAAGTGTATCACACATGAAGCGGGGTGCCCAATCAACCCACGGCATACCTGGTTTGGCACAGCAAAGGCAAGGGTACGACCAGCTTCTGTTTCATCCTTGTGAAACGTAGCGAGGGCCGACGTAAACCCGGTAGGTATGCAGTATCGCTCCTCCCGGCATTGTGGGAATGCTGGCCTACCGACTAGATCCCCGGCATGTAGTTACATGAGTACACGCCTCCCCCCCAATCACTAGGAATAAGTATAGGCTATAATAGTCACTTGTGTGCCCTTGTGAGCGTGCTGTAGCGGCCGCCCCACAAAATGCCAGCAAAAGCAAAAAATATACAGAATGAATAAAGCGTCAAGACCGTTTGCCGGCCACAAACTTTGGCAATTCCGCACCGTGTACCCCCCCCCGGGCGGGCCAGCAGTGTAAGGGGTTTCCCAACGTAAGGAGTCCCTCTCGCGCCCGACCGCAATCAATCATCGAGTCCCATAATAACTTTTGGAGATGAGGATATGCGGCCGCGGGCTGGTGATGAAAGTAGTAGCGGAATGATGGAAGTATGTGCAGGGCCACCGGCCGTGGGCAGGAGGCCTCACTCACTGAATCCACTATTTTTTGCTTGCTAGTAATAATAGTGATCATCTACAACGAACGGCGAGAAAAAATGCAGCAGGTAGAAATTGGTCGTTGCCGCAATCCTCAAGTCTTCTTTTTAACTTTGGGTTTGACATCAAGAAACGCCGTTGTGGATGCCTATGACCAAGCGAGCAACGTGTTTGTGTGACAGAAGGGGTTCTCTGGCCAGTTGTCTATTTTGAGAAGGAAAAAGGACAACGACAGCCCCAAAAAAGAACCATAAGAAATGGCCAGAGAAATTGGAAAAGAGACAGAACCAAGCAAGAGGCAGGCGGTCGACCCCAAAGGGTTACCCCGCAGTGATTTGGATGCTGTTGCCTCGCGTAGTGTAGTGAACGAACGTTCTACCTCTTCCCCTGGCCAAGCAAGCCCCTATCACCCCTGTCTGTTGCTCCCTGCCTTCTAGCCAAAACAAATAGAGTTGAGATGAGGCCGGGGCTACCCCCGAGCTGAATTATTTATCTAGACTAGCTATATCCATCTATGCACATTTACACTTTTCCTTTTCCTCATCTCCGATCCCTCTATAGACTATACCGCGGCATTTCCCGCGCAAGCGTCAGATCTTCTCTACGGTGGGGAACGAAACCTTCGATTCTCGTCGGGTTCCGTAGACGATCGGGCTGTGATGGAAGAGCTGTTTGTCAAGAAAATCACCTCTCACTCAATCATCGATCGAGAAAATTCATAAAAGGAAGGGGGGGGGGGGG